GACTTCCGTTTCGCACGTGCCCTTAGACGGAAGCCAAACTGGAAAAAATACCCTCCCTCCGTGGGTGAAAAATGACAAATCAAGGCCATGTCCAACAAAACTCTTTATGTTCGTCCTGGGGCCTGAAGTTGTTTTTATGCGGTTATTCAACGCTTTAGTGCTCAGCGGATATTTCATGTTAACTATGCCTTCCCATGTTTTCAGGCCTTCGAGAACAAGGTAACTGAGTACAACTTTTGGCAGTACTTTTGCTTTCTTGCAACCATTTAACCAAGCAGCACCGTTATTCAAAAGTTTTATGGGCTACAATTTAATCCCAGCTTGTGGTGCATAAGATCTGAATTTGGCTCGACTCATACGCTTAATTTCATAGTTTTGTATTTTTTTACCGTCGAATCCATCAGGTATGGCCTGACACCGTAAAACTGCCTTGCCGCCCAAGGCATGTTAGACTTCGCGAATCAAGTCGCAAGTGTCTGCGGTGGCGTTGCGGAGGTGTGGTTCACCAAGACAAAAGCGACTTTTCCGCTATTTCGCGCGCAAAATTTTTCGTTGCGGGAACCTCGGGTCCACCGCTGATCATGAGTGGACCTGGAGCTTCCTGCAGCGGAAAAATTTCGGGCTGCGAAACGCAAAAAAGTCGCTTCCTGTCCCAATGAAGCACACCCGCGCTGCGGTACCATGTAGTCGGGGGATTCGCTGGTCGCGACATGACCGCGGGCGCTAGCGAATCGCTCGTTCGCGAAGTCTGACATCGGCCCAACGGCGCAAAACCCACACCCGTACAACTCGGATTTCTCTTGAATTCATAGTAGATAGTATGATATCTTCTACATTTGTCATATCACTATCATGTCGCATGTTATCATCGCACGAACTGTATCGTATTTTTCAGTGTCTGACATCGGACGAGTCATGTTGAAATTCCGTGAACTCGAAAAGGAAGAGCAGGCTGCTCAAAAAGAAGATGTCTACTCGGCTAATTACGTGCCGAAGAAGTTCTCTAAACACTCAGCTGAGTATGGTACACCAAAGCCAGGAACTCTCACCGAGATGAGGGCGAAGAAGGCCTGTGAGTCGTTAAGTTCAGAAGATTATCTCGAAGGAATCCTTATCGGAGAATTTTTGCATTCTCCAATATGAATATGTCAGCAGTGATCACTAGAGACAACATACAAAGTTTCACGCACGAAGATTCAGTTTCCGAAGAAAAAACTCACGAAAACCACACTCTATGGACGGTCGAAGGTAGGTCGCGCGGAGCCAAAGGCGGGGCATGGAAAGAAGTGCGCCTTGGGGCGGCTACGTATCAGGCGACGCAATGAAAGAATCGGGTTAAAGCGTGCGATTTTGGAGAGTAGAGACAAATCGATCGATAGAATAGGATGCAGTAGAAGTGTGAGATGTGAATGCAATAAGTCAAAAGGTCAAAAGAGTTTCTAGTGACAGCACTCCGTGAACCAAGTGGAAGCATTCCCGTCGCCAGCATTTGTGACAGATGTCCGGCGGTACTTTGAACGCGTAGCAGTCCTTCCGGTTTTCGAATTGTTTACCAAACAAATGCAATTTTTTGTTCTTTCGTTCTTATCGTGAACGATGGTCCCCAAGCCAGTGATTTATGGGTGAAATAGAACCACGATTCTCCGAGAAGGATTTCTTGAAAGATATTTCCAGGATAAAGTTGGTGTGGTTCTTGCACGTGAAAATGAAAATAAGTGAAATGCGTTGAAAGTAAAGAAAAAAGCTTTTGTCAAAAACGCTCACGTTAAGGGCTTGCTCGTCTTTGTAATGTGGCTGTGCTAAGGCAATGAGAGACTGAGCGCGGAGAGGAGAGTATGAGGCGAGAGAGCGCTGCAGGTGAGAGGGTGCCAGACAACAGCCTATGCGAGCATTGCAGCTGTTGCAGCTAACTTTGCAAGGCTCTAGCGCCTCTATTCCGTGCAAGGGAGCGGCACAGCTGTGTTTGTTCCTCCAGAGTATCCTACAGAGGTAAATCTTCCATGACTGCTGTGCCTCCAAGACACATTCGAGGATTAGCTCATTAGAACAGTCCGTATAAAATGGACGACGCTAGAGGCGCAAATTTCAATTCTGATTCTAACTCTAATTTCACTCAGACCTCAAAAAAGTATGAGGAGATGAGGAGAGCAGCAGGTTGGTGGATGAAAAGGAAGGCTCATCGCCGCTGGGCAGGGCGTTTTCAAAATGCGCGATGCTGGCTAAAACTTAGTGACTCAGGCTGGGTGACCAGTGTCTACGATGTGCTATGCGAATCTGAAACGTGCTTATGCGCCCACATTTAGCGGAGTAGGCTTCTCAAACGGACGATATTTGCTGCAAAATACAACCCTATTCCAGGACGTTTTAGAAAAATGGATAGAAAGTAGCGAAGGAGGAAAAGTCGAATGCATATTGTGGCGAAAATTCAAAAAGCAGTGTGGATCAGAAACTGCTGGCAAGAAATGTGGACTATAAGAGAGGAACCCAAATTCTTGCAGTGCGCGGGGTTGAACCAGTTGGATAGGACCAAACTTAGGAAACGCTAAAATATTGCTGGGTCCCTGTGTGCGTGCTTCCATAACTACAATTCCCGGAATTCACCCTCAATCCATGACACCAGTTAACGTCTTTAGCGAGAGGACTTCAGGAGGTGGTTCCAACCACAACCCCTCTCCTCCCCATCTCTGCCAGCACGCTGAGGAGACTAGTCCGCCATTGAAGGATAATGTCATTGAAACCGCACCTTCTTCCAGCCATTATGATCACTGTCTTCGAATGTGGTTTGTCATCGCCATGATAAAGGGTAAGACAATCAGCTTTGATCAATGCTTCCGGATAGCGCCACGCATTCCGCTTCCGTTCAAAGTACTACGGGCATTTGAATGCGATCTAAATGCCCATACAATGTGTGGGGGTGCCTGTTGATTCACAACTTAGTGTTTTTTACTGTTAGATGTCCGCTACCAGCGTGCCCTTATATTTTGTCAGTCAAGTTCAGATCAGACAGCAGTCATTTTAGGTAGTTATTTCTCTCGGCCATCTGGTTCTGCAATTCACTTTGCAACTCATAGGGCTTTCATACGTTGTCAAAGAGTTTATATGGATTTTCCAGCCAAACACGTTGCCAAAGAGATGCTATACCTCTGCGAGATTATTCGAGAATACGGCTATCGATCAAATGATGGACGAATAAGTATCACGTTCGGAAAGCTGTTCAACGTCTATCAGTATATATCTGACAAGGTTGGTCATAACTAAAAGAAAAATTAGGTCATAAGCGGCCTGTTCCATTATTGCAAAAGGTGTGAATATAAAAGATCAAGGGCGAAGAATTCAGCGATAACCATACCACTGTTGGGGTGCGTAGCGCATTTCTTTACATCCTTCAATTGTAGTAGAATTCTGGATGAGATCTGCCAAAACAATAACTTACAGGGGTGCACCAGTGCCCAAATCAGGGTTCATGTCCTCCAAGACAGTTCATTACCAATTAACCGACACTGGAGAAATGGGAGTGATGGTTGGCCGAAACGACATCTGACCCTGGATTTGAATTCTTGCGACTTTGGCCCAAATGTGGCTAGTGCTCGATAGAGATGGTAGAAGTGCGAAGTGGACCGCCGCTAGCGACCAGGGGAGAATAAAGCGTTGAGAACAGTAAAATAGGATTGTACGTTTCTGAGTGGTGGTGGGGTCTACGACATAGGAGTGCAGGGCCTCGAGATCAGAAACCATGGAAGTGAGTGAGGCATGGACAATGCGCCATGTAGACAAATGGAGGCAGACCTGGTAGCCTGGGAAGTGTCGCCAGCTTTCGCAAATTGAGACAACTTCCACCACAAATCCTCCACCTCACTTTCGGCATTTGTTCATCTCTGACTTAAAGGACGAATTCACGATGAAAAAGCAACCCATTTCAAACTAACCTAGGGATGGTGAGTGGTACACGAAAGAAGGAAGAACCATGAGAAACGGCCCAGAACCCGAGAAATGGGACCCCTTCCTTGCCCGTTGATTCGAGCATTGATGCGACTCTCATCGCTGTGCCCTCTTCAACACTACGCTCTCTCAGCTATCTAATCACTCGCCACGTATTGAACTACGGCGAGTGATCAGATGATCGGTGGGCGGAGATCGCCGACCCGCCAGCTTTGAGGCATGATAGGTCGCCGAGGTCAAATTTTTCCATGCGAATTGCGCGTCAGTTCGCACCCTCAGGAGGTCCGTGGGTCCCTCAACTAGGTCAGTTTCCCTTTCTTCGACCTTCATTCTAATGTAAATTCCTCTTAAAGCAACAGTTCAGGGAGGGTCCGAAAATTTCAATGCCACTACTACTGAGGGATACACGAGCCCTAGTGAAGAACATATGCAGTGGAAATAATAAACGAACTTACCTCAGAAACTCAAAAACAGGGTGGAAAGTCCCTCAAACATGGGTGTTCTTGGGGATTTCCCCAATCCCGCCCCCTTGCCGGCCGTCATTGGACGCGTCGGCAATCGTGCTCGTTTTGGGACCACAGGGAAAATTGATTGAAAAATGGAGCGCGTTTACAGCGGGCACGTTCAGACAACTCGTCCAACGTGCGTCTTTATCCATTGCTGAGCGGCAGAGGGAGAGTACCTGTCTAAGACCCTCCCCGACGTTTTTTTCCAGTTTTTCATACATTAATCGTCTGGTTTTCATCTACAACTTCATTATTGGTGGTTTTTTCCCGCGAAACCGTTCCTGAACTGTTGCTTTAAGAAGAACCCTGCAGTTGGCAAAAGCGAGGGATGATAAGTATGGTTCGGGTCTACAGTGGCGTGCTAAATAATGCGCTATTTCCAATAAGCAGAGAAATTCGCCTAAACACGCAAAACAGGACTCTGTCGATTGCCCGCCGACCAACGTACATCGCTGGATATCAGCAAAGCATGCTGGCAACAGCTTATCCACGCAACTTCTATCAAGTGCACGTCACTTCGGTGACACGCCCACCCCAACTTTCGGATACCAACTGTACGGTCGTTTGCACATGCTAACTCGAAACATAACCCGGCTGTTATCATATCCTTCACAGATACCACGACGCCACGTAGCCATCCCGGTGTACAAATTGCCTACGAGTGAGAGGTGTGTTAGCACACCATAATGCTAACAAACACCACGCTTTCATCAATAACGCATTACCAGGAAAGTTGGACGATACAACCGCTAGAAGTGAAGTACCCCTTCAAAATGAAATCGAACGATGATGCTACTGACAGCACTTGCTGGAGCACAGGCGGCGGCGGAGCACAGAAATGGTTTAGAAACCTCGTGCGCTGAAACTAGCGTGCTTTTTGATTGCGAAAAAGTAAATCTTGCTTTCTTTCGCCCCTGGCTTCTGCTTGCGCTGGTGCATACACTTCCATGCTGCATTCATACATTATTGTAGATTCTCACTTCAGAGGAGGATTCTGCGATAAGGAAGGAGGTCGAACAAAGAGAAACCTACTTAGTAGAGAGGCAGGCGGACCTCCCATTGATGCGGCGGACCGGCAGCACAGTTGGCAACGAAACACATGCCCCGCCGATCTGGCATGGCCTTTCCCCGCTACGCAACTGGCGCGTTATTAGCGAAGTACGCCTCCCCCGATCGTCTCGTGTCTGAGTCTCTAGCCGTTCAGCAGAGAGAGCGTTAGCGTTGAAGAGGGCAGCACCGATGAGAGTCGCATCAATGCGCAAATCCGACAAGGAAGGGGTCCCATTTCTCGGGTTCTAGGCAATTTTTCTCGCTTTTTTATTCTTTCGTGCATTACTGTCCATTACTAAATTCTTTTCCATCGTAACTCTGAATTCAGTCTTGGAGTATGCCTTTAAGCTCTCTACTTCAACAACCCTGCAGATAACTGTTTTTAAGGTCGTCGGTATGCTACTGCGAGCTCGAAAGCATCATATGGTGGATTTTGAGGGAGAGATGCTGTTCCAAAGGCGGGACGACGCCGTTGTCATTACCTTATTGTTGTCAAATGAAGAACTGGAACGTGGAATAGAAGAAAGTAAAAAATAGTAATGTTTTCCATGTTTTTTTTGTACATACAACAAATAAATAAATAATAAACAAGTTGTTTGTTGATTCTTGAACCGAACGGTTGCATAGTCTGTGATTGAGATAATGTTTTTACTTTTTTAAAATACACCTAGAAAGCAAAAAAGGGGCATGGAGATGTGCTAACGCTCCATCATCGTATCTAGCAGAACCTTAGATGGCGAGGGACTGTTCGGCTGTTTTTGAAACTTTTTTCATCTCACTAAATGAAAGGAAAAGCATTTCGGCATTGATTAATTTTGTTTTAGAATGCGCCACACATTCTACTTTCATTCACAATCGTAGTGGCATACTGTGCGAGTAGGCCTATACAGGGTGGTCCAAAATTATGAGGACCGCGTGCGCGCGGTCATATCCACTTTTTTCCGAGTCGCTCCATTTTCATCTCCTTTTCTGTGCACTATGTGAAAGGGTACAATGTCTTCTTCCTATTGAAACCAAATATCATGCAGTTCTCAAACTCACTAAGGGCTCTGGCACGTTACATCTAGCGGCAGTCTAACGTATCAGGGAAGCTCTTATGAGCAACAGTTCAACTCTTCAATAAGTTTGGAACCACCACAGATGGAAAATTCGGAGACTCGAAAGTTACAGTTACCACCAGGATAATTATCAGATGCAGAAACTAGGTCTCCCCTTGTCGACTTTCGTACTCCCAAAATGAAAAAATTGATGTGAAAACCCAGCCAGACACTCTAAAGACTCCACATCTGTAGTGGATAGAAAGCCACACGAGTAGTCTACTTGGGACTTTTACAGGACCGAGCACCCAAGAATAAAGCAAAAATCCTCCAAAAAGCGATTTTTCGAGTTCGTTGCTTTCGAAGAATTGTTACAATGGAACCATCCACCTAATAGATTTCTGTATTTCACACCCTGGATGCAAGCGCAAATAAATGCCCCACAAAACTTTGATTCCCTGAAGAAAGCAGAGCAGAAGGCCTGGAAACATTTTGACACGCCTCAGTTGCGTGCCACCGCACGCGCCATCCCCCTTCATCTGAAGGCTCGTGTAAACGGGGCAGGTGGCAGATCTCAATTCTATTCTGGAATTACTTTGAGATAAGAGTTACAAACACTTCCCTGAAGTTTGTTTGTTCCATCAAGCTACTATGCGTTTTTAACGACACAATGTCTTGGTCTTCGCTGAGAATTGCGCAATGCACAGCTGATCCTGGCTCCACGGTAATGTAACTCGGAAAAGTAGCGGAACCGAGCAAATGCAGCATATCAGAGCAATACGGGACATTTAACCTCTCCTTCAAAAAGCGGAGAAAGTGTCGGGTGCAGACCAAACACCACAACAGACGAGGCGTCCAGGTAAATCTGGTTAGAAGTTGTTCATAGTGATAGCCGATTTCTGGTAAATGATAGTTGAGGAATTAGTGACATCGATAGAATAACTGCAGCAGGCTTAATCAATTCATAGGCAAAGAATTAACATTTTGGGAGGGTGTCAGGTTGTGGTGCAGGGTCTGCACCCGACACTTTCTCGCTTTTTGAAGGGGAGGATACATCGACAACTTATGATATTTATTATGCGGCTGCTGTTGAGCGTCAGAGTGGTTTTCAGGTAGGGTCATGTGGTCGTTCCACCTCCCCCTTTTCCCCGGGGTGGATCCATCTCCAAGAATGATGAGACACGGGGACAGGCGAGGTGGAAGTGTTCTCCATGGGTCCAGGAGATAGGTCGACATCGTCTGGGGGCACACGCGTGGTGTCGTGATGTCAAATAAAAAGGTAAAGTTAAGACTTATGTAATAGAGCGGCGCTACTGACATTTTCATCACTATTCCACTTCCATTTCTACTTTCTTTCCCCAGTCAAAGGAAACCCAAAACTACCAATATAACACCGATAATTAAATTTACGTAAAGGCATGCCCCAGGATCACACTGGTGTGGCTCTTGCACACGAATGCGAATGTATCGGTGCGAAATAGGGCCGGCAGTGAAGAAAAAAGGAAAGGAATCGGCTGTGCTAAGGGAATGAGAGACTAAGCGCGGAGAGGAGAGTATGAGGCGAGAGAGCGCTACAGATGAGAGCGCCAGACAACAGCCTGATAAGAGAAAAAATCTGCAGCTTCAGCAGCTTACTTTGCAAGGCCCAAGCGCTCTTGTCGGTTGGTTTCCGTGCACGGGAACGCCACATTTGTGATTGTCCTCTAGGGGTCTATACTACAGACCGAAGGGAAGCGTTCACACGACCTCTGCCTTAGGTTGTGCTTTTGAGCATCAGATCGTGCTGCGTATTTGAAACAGCGGATAAGCAACGGATTTATTTAGCTTCAACCATTTCATATTGTACAGTCTGGTCCAAGTTTAACACAACGTCCATCTTTAATTGCGTAGCCTGGCTTGCAATCGCAGCCCCTCGTTTGACAGTCGCTCCGGTATGGATTGTGCCTGTTGCAGACTACCAGTGGCATGCACTCTTTATAGTAATAAATCTGATTTTCTCCACATTTCTTTACTGAAATGACCATCTTTTTGGAAAAATCCAGTACAGAAAGAATAAACCAGAAAATGTATCATAATGTGTTCCTTAGCGCGATCGCGAACGCGGGAGAAGAGACACTCCTTCTCGTTTTCCTTGTTCGTTGGTGATGGGTGTCACCCCAAGAGGCTCGTCGCGCGGCGAAGGAAGAGACGCAGACGCGGCAAAGGACGAGTCGCAGCGCATACTGTAGCGGTTAGGCGTCAGGTTAAATAGAGTGTACCATACTACGTCTCATATCGCACAGCACGCGCGGGGGACATAACTCGCAAACAAGTTTTGCAATTCAAAAATATAAAGCACAGCATCAAGGAGTAGTCCAGAGAAATGAGCGGAAGCGAGGAATCGCCAGAGATCTCTAGAAGAGGGAGAGGATGGCAAAGGTAGCGGAAAGAGCAGCACTGCGCTTGCGATTAACAAGCAAAGGTCTCCATGCGTCGTGGTCATCTAATGGTAAGATGGGGTGTATGTTCCCATTCATCCTCCCGTTTTGGAACGCTGATTTAAGACCTGTCTTCCAAATCTGGTGAACAGTTTTTTTTTGCGAAGCCGAAGAAGGTAGTGGTAGTGGTCCGCACTTACGGGTAAGAGGCAGTTAGATCGTGTTTTCTGAAAGTTTACTCTTTGGCTTCCATCGTAACATTTCTAGAAATGTTTTTCTGTTTCTACAATGAGTGCTTACTGTTACCTGTATAACAAGTTTACGACGAGCTCTGAGCACTATTTGGCCGGTGGTGTTCATAGTCATAAGCAAGCGGTGTTTAGATCTTATCGTAAACTCAATACAGGGAACATACAGGGGGGGCCAAAAAAAGACATTTTGCCTATGTCGGACTTCGGCCCTTTTTTCTTCGCAGAGATTGCCGTCGTTGACGGGAGTTCCTCAGCAGAGTATTCCCTAAATGTCCCTCTATAAGTGACGCAGGCCCTCCTTCACTGCCCTCACCGTCTTCAGAATATGACGTCATCTGTCACCGTCGTCAGGCTCAAGGAGGTCTACCGTAAGAGCTTCAGCCTGAAGCTCTTACGCAATTTCGTGAATCGATTTAATGTTGGATAGTTTTCTAGAGGCATTAGCTACCACTATGCAAATCCCCTCGAAACTAGCTTTCCAGTAAAGGTCGTTATGGTACACGATCCTTCGAAGACCCCATTGAGCTCGACCAGTGCACCATGTTTCCAGGGCAAATTCTTCTGATGCCGTCCACGTAGGTGGCCACCATAGGCCGATGTCATAGTTTGCGAATCGAGCGTTTGCGCCAGCGAATCGAACGTTGCACCAGCGAATCGAACTTTGCGCCAGCGAGTCGAACGATGTACCAGCGAGTCGAACTAGGTACCAGCGACTCAATAGTGGCGGGACCCAACGTTCAAAGGAAGCCCGCCACTTCAAACAGTGTCACGTGACAGTGGACGCTGTTTGAAAGTGGCGGGAGTTGACAGTGGGCACTGTTTGAAAGTGGCGGGCTTCCTTTGAAAGTTGGGTCCCGCCACTATTGAGTCGCTGGTACCTAGTTCGACTCGCTGGTACATCGTTCGACTCGCTGGCACAAAGTTCGATATCGTGGTTGTTGGAACATTCGGTCTGAATTGAGCAAAGTGTGCTTAAATCCATCTGGAAGTGGAGACAAAATGTCTTTTTTTATTGCCCCCCCCCCCTGTAGGAAAATACTGATGAGTATTTTCAGCAATATTGTGCACGAATCAAAGCAATAAACTAGCAAAGGGAATGATTCCATAAGAACTTGCTCACAAGCCCATACCCGCTGCGTTTTGAACTACATGACTGCCATAAGATAGTCGTTCAGCAGGTTCAAGAGGTACATTTAAAATCAGCATAAAAACTACAGAATAGCAGCTTGCACATCATCTTGAATGGCTATGGCGGTCTGGAGGCCTTTCCTTGCAACGACCGATTTCAGACTTTGCGAATCAAGTGATTTGCTACTAGCGATACGCTAGCATCCGCGAACGTGTCGCGGCCAGCGAACGCTCGAGAGGCTGGTACTGCAGTGCGACCGCGGACGCTAGCCAAGGCGGCTTCCATACTTTGCGTCGCTGCGGACGGTGCGGACGGTGCGGGGATAGTGGAAAGCGTCAACATGCGCACTGGTACATGACGTGCCCTTGGCGTACAGTCGGTAACTCCGGAGCGATTTCAATTTCAGTACATCCCATCCACTTTTCCAATGTTTTGTATGCCGTCTTGCCTTCGTTAGTTTTTTCTGACTCAGACTTTTCTTCCTCGTCCTAATCAATATTTTTTAGTTGTCCCTGAACACGTAGCGTTGTGCAGTTGCATCGGTAAGCCCCAGGTGAGGCCATCAGTGAGCAAAGACAATATTTCATACAAAAAAGAAAAAGTTTTGAGCAAAAAAACACGAACGAAAGCAAGACGGCACACAAAACATCAAAAATAAACAGGAAAACATATTGAACTGAAATTATCGATCGGAAGCTACCGA